CAAGTTCGGGACAGTTCTGCCCCCCCACCCTTCCCCCCCCAGGCAAAAAAAAAAAAAAAAAAAAGTGTCATATAAAAAGCCTGTTGCTGACACCACAAGGTCACCATAATCACTGTAATTTGGGCTGCAAAACCTAAACTGTCCACCCTTCTGCTGGTGGGGGAGATCACGCTGAGTGCAGCATCGCTTTCCCTTCCTAGGACTACCCATCTGTCGGCCAGCTGGTCCAGAAACTTGCTGAAAACAACATTCAGCCCATTTTTGCTGTCACCAGTAAAATGGTGGATGTCTACAAGGTAAGGAAACTTCAGATAGTCCGTGTGCCTCCTGTCCCTTCCCAGGAGGACAGAAACAGCTGTGCCTGTCCTCCTGCCCTGACCCCTGCTCCGACATCACATAGTGGGGATCGCTCACCTCTTTTCTTTCTTTTGGCAGAAACTCAGTGAGATGATCCCAAAGTCAGCTGTGGGTGAGCTGAACGAGGACTCCAGCAACGTCATTGAACTCATCCAGGAGGCCTACAATGTAAGTGCTGGAGGAATCTTGTTTCACCTGTCTCGCAGACCTGGGAGCAGGAAAAGATTCCCGTTGTGTGTCCTCATCGTCAGAGAGCAGTTGGGACTTTGAGGACAGGGCATGCTGAGTCCTTCTGCCTACAGCAACCAAGAAGTTCCTGTCTCTCCAACACTATCATCTGCCTTTCCCAAACCACCCTAGGCAGCTGAGATCTCAGCCTGGGGTGCTCCCTGCCCCTATCCCCTGGGCTGGCGGGGAGCCCTGACCTGCAACCCCACACCCTGCTTTGGTCTCCTCTTGGACTGATGGCACTTTCTCCAACATTTCCCCACAGAACCTCTCCTCACAGATCATCCTGGACCACTCTACCCTGCCAGACTTCCTGGATGTCAAATATGACTCCAGCTGCAGTAAGGACAAGGCCACCTTCAACAAAGCGAGAGGGCAGTGCGACAATGTCAAGATCAATGACGAGGTGTGTTCCCTCATACTGGGAATGCCCCAGAGCTCACAAGGTTCCTGATACCCATCCTGTTTAAAGGCAGGAACCAAACGTGTTATTCCAAGCTTTCTATTTACTTTATTTCTATCTATTTAATTTAATGTCAACAGCGTCCAAAATGCTGTGTGATGGGGGAATCTTTCATTGTGCTGTATGTGCATGTGCTCAGCCTGGGGCCGATACCACCCCTCTGACTGCTGAAGCTATCTCACAGCCTCTGGCCCTTCCCTTTCTCACTCTGCACTTTCTAGGTCATCTTCACAGTAAGGGTCACAGCCAAGGAGTGCATCAAAAGTCAGTCCTTCACCATCCGGCCACTGGGCTTCACAGACACCCTCACGGTCCACCTGGACAGCAACTGCGACTGCAACTGCACTGCACAGCCCGACCCAACTGCCTGCAATGGGAAGGGCAGCATTGTTTGTGGGATCTGCAGGTATGTGCTGTCACTCCAAAACACTGTTTCAAATGCTGCTAAAGCTGGAGAGCTGCTGGGAGAGGCCATTGGCCCAAGTTGAGGGCAGCTGCATGGTGCACTTGGTTCCTCCAAGCACCTATGTGCCTGGAGAATGTGGAGCTGGGTGAGGGGTGTACACATGTCGGTCAGTCCTGGCCTGAGTCTGCAGCTTTGCATCAATTTTCTTATTCAGAGAGGTGGTTTACGTTCATGGAGGCAGGGAACACAACGAGCTCGCTCTTCTGTTGATGGAGCCTCTGCTGCTTTCCTAAGGGAAAACACCCACCCACCCACCCATCCAACTATCCACCCAACTACCCAAGCATCCACCAACCCACACATTGAGCAGGCACAGATTTCTGTAGAAGTCTCTCAAAATCCCTGTAGTTCACACAGGTCTTTAAGTGCAATTATTGCTTCACAGCCCTTCAGTGACAGGGAGAGGAAAAGACTGGGTTTCCTCAGGAAACGCTCAGATATCCTTGGCAAGGGTTTGGAAATGATGAACATAACAATGATTTCTGGGCAACTGTTTGGTGGTATAAATATGACCAGCAGGAAGAGCAATGTTTCTGCTGTTTCCTCCTGATCAGCCACCCTGCTCCAGCATGGGATTAGCACCAACATGCCTTGCTTGGGTTTCGGTGAGGCTGTCCCACATTTGCTCCACTTTGGCTGAGGTCTGGGCCCCACACTGGCTCCACAGCATTTCTTGGGGCCACTGACCCGGGCTCTCTCCTCTGACGGCAGCTGCAATTCGGGCTACACGGGGAAAAACTGTGAGTGTGAAACCAAAGGCAAGACCAGCAAGGAGCTGGAGGGCAGCTGCCGGAAGGACAACAGCTCAGTCATCTGCTCGGGGCTGGGGGACTGTGTGTGTGGGCAGTGCATCTGCCACACCAGCGACGTGCCCGACAAGCACATCTACGGCACCTTCTGCGAGTGTGACAACATGAACTGCGAGTTTCACAATGGCTCCCTCTGCGGTGGCAAAGGTGATGTATCTGCGTGATGGGTTCTCCACTGCCGCAGTGTTTAGAAAGATTAAATCCCCAGGCAGATTCTGCCTTTCCCTGCCAAAATCCAAGCGGGTGGGTTTGGGGGACCTGGGTCCTGCCATACCAACCCGCAGGACCTCCTCGACATGGAGGGTGTCATGGAGAGCGCAGGGTGGGTGATGCTCTCCAAGCATGAGCAGAGGGAGGGTAACCTGGCTCTCTGTACGGCCCTGGTCTGAAAGGTCTTCCCCTGCAGACCGTGGGAGATGCGACTGTGGGGAGTGCAAGTGCACGTCCATGTACCAGGGCAGCGCCTGCCAGTGCAAGAAGTCGACAGAGGGCTGCTTGAACATCCGTCACAAAGAGTGCAGCCTCCGCGGGACCTGCCACTGCAACCGTTGCCAGTGCCGAGGGGGATACCAGCCCCCGTTCTGCCAGGAGTGCCCCGGCTGCCCCTCGCCCTGCGGCAGATATGTGTGAGTTACACACGGGGAGATGGCATGGCAGGTAGGGGGATCCCTGCCATCTCCCAGGCAGGCACAGGACAGAGCCCAGCCACGGCCAAAGCTGGGTGAGAGGGCCTCTGCTCCCACAGAGGTGAGCTGTGGCCACCTGTTTTGCAGGTCCTGCGTGGAGTGCATAGCCTTCAACAGCGGCCCCTTCGAGAAGAACTGCTCCGAGGCCTGCCCCAACATCCAGAAGGTCGAGAAATTGGATGAGGCGAGCAGGCAGTGCAGGGAGAAGGACTCCCAAAACTGCTGGATCTCCTTCCGCATGTTCCAGGAGGACGGTGAGGAGATCTACACCATCACTGTTGATACTGAAAAAGGTATGCCAGCCCTGTTCCTCCTGCCCCTCTGCAGGCAGGCTGCCAGATCTGCTCTGATGGCCTCACCACCTCGCTGGGGGCTGCAGCCAAACGCCATCTGTCTGCCCTGCAGAGTGCCCAGAGCCTCCCAACGTTGCGCTGATCGTGGGTGTTACCGTTGCCGGTGTGGCCCTGATCGGCCTGGTGCTTCTGCTGATCTGGCGTCTCTTGACGGAGCTGTTTGATCGCCGGGAATACCGCCGGTTTGAGAAGGAGAAGTCCAAGGCCAAGTGGAATGATGTAAGAGAGCTCATCCATGGTGGTGGGTTGTGATGAGACAGTCACATAAATGTGGTGGGGACACCTGGAGGGGACATCATCTCTGGAGGCAGCCATGGCAGACCTGCCTCCTGCTGGTTTTGTGGCCCAGCTGGATTTTGCAGGGGGTTAGGTGGCCTATGGGCTCTTCTGTCTGCACTGTCAGCTTTGGGAGCCATGGGGTGGGTAATGCTCCACTGAAAATCCAATACAGCACAACAACACAGGCCTCTCACCTCTCTCTCTCCAGGCTGATAACCCCCTCTTCAAGAGCGCCACCACCACAGTCGTGAACCCCAGGTTCAACGGGCAGTGAAGAGAAGCAGCACCTGGCAGCGCTAGGACCTTAAATAAGGAAATGCCAAGCTAAGGAAATCTCAAACTAAGGCTTCCACCTCCTCTACTTTATCCTGTTGGTTTGTTCCCCTCTCCCAAGAGGCCACCAGCACATCATGCACTGGCTGGGGGACTTTACCATGTCTGTCTCTTGGTACAGTGCTTGATGGTTTGATTAGTGGAGTTGGGAGAAGGGAACAGACATAGCTTTGCCATGGATGGAACCAGCCGGTCAGGTATCACCAGTGGGCATATGCAACAGCTCCTGTACCAGTTACCAGCTGTCTCAGCTCTTGATGCTAACTTTGCCTTCTGGCAGGAGTCTTGGACACCAGGCCCCAAAACCATCTTTGAGCTTTGATCTGGAGCTGGAATTTCAAACCTACCATTTTCCTTCTGCACTAGCAGGATCTGTTTCCAGGCTGCTCCATGCATTCGCCTGCTGCACTGGTCTCCACCACTATGCACTAGTTTCTAAAGCACTCACTGCCGAGTTGGACGTGGAGGGTTCACTAGGCTGGCGGTCTGTTGTGGAGGTTGCAGTGAGATGATGGGCCCTAAGGGCTAGTGAGCACCTGTACCTGGAGATGAAAAGCAGCCTGGGAACATGTACTGAGTCATTTTCCAAATCATAGCTGCTTCCCAGTATCACTTCCCTCCCAGACCTACATTGCGCAAGGTTCTACTTGGGCTCATGCAAACTTGGCTTACCTCCACCAGGACTTGAGATTTCTGCATGACAAGGAGGCAAAGAAGCAATTGTTTGAACTATGAAACATTGGCATTGAGCACATGAAACATTGCCTGCAGCTCAGAGCTTAGCCACAGCTTCTTCCACCAGCCCCAAGGCAAGACCTTTCTCTGCTCTATGAGTGCATCAGACACGTCAAGGGCCTGGCTACAAAAGACCTGGCGGTACCCAGAGCATCTCCAGCTCAGCACTTTTCCAAACCATGCACAGCAGCTAATTGCTCTTATATTGTGGCATCATTCCTGTGAAACAGCAGTACAATTCTATATTTGCTTTAAGTTTGGGAATAGTTTGCATGTAACTGTGTTATGTCACATCTTCATTTGCTCTCTGAAGAGTTTAATGTTAATAAAAATTAATACATAAAGTAAATAGAATCACAGAATCATAGAATGGTTAGGGTTGGAAGGGACCTTGAAGATCATCGAGTTCCAACCCCCCTGCCCTGGGCAGGGACACCTCCCACTAGAGCAGGTTGCTCAAAGTCCCATCCAGCCTGGCCTTGAACCCCTCCAGGGATGGGGCAGACACAACTTCCCAGGGCAACCTGTTCCAGTGTCTCACCACCCTCACAGCAAATAATTTCTTCCTGATATCTAATCTAAATCTCCCCTCCTCCAATTTAAAACCATTACCCCTTGTCCTGTCGCTTCACTCCCTGACAAATGAGTCCCTCCCCATCTCTCCTGTAGGCCCCCTTCATGTACTGGAAGGCCGCTGTAAGGTCTCCCTGGAGCCTTCTCTTCTCCAGGCTGAGCAACCCCATCTCTCTCAGTCTGTCTTCATAGGAGAAGTACTCTAGCCCTCTGATCATTTTAGTGGCCCTCTGCTGGACCCATTCCAACAGGTCTATGTCCTTCCTGTGATGAGGACTCCAGATCTGGATGCAGTACTCCAGGTGGGGTCTCACAAGCACAAAGTGGAGGGGTAGAATCACCTCCTGCAGCCTGCTGGCCACGCTTCTTTTGATGCAGCCCAGGATGTGGTTGGCTCTCTGGGCTGCCAGCGCGCACTGCCGGCTCATGTTGAGTTTCTCATCCATGAGCACTCCCAAGTCCTTCTCCTCAGGGCTGCTCTCCAGCCATTCTCCACCCAACCTGTATTTGTGCTTGGGATTGCCATGTTCCAGGTGCAGGACCCTGCACTTGGCTTGGTTGAACTTCATGTGGTTTGCGTCAGCTCACCTCTTGAGACTGTCCAGGTTCCTCGGGATGGCATCCCTTCCCTCCAGCATGTCAACCGCACCACCGAGCTTGGTGTCATCGGCAAACTTGCTGAGGGCACTCTATCCCACTGTCCATGTCTCCGACAAAGATGTTAAACAGCACTGGTCCCAGTACTGACCCCTGAAGAGCATCAGTTGTCAGTCACCGCCACTTGGACATTGAGCTGTTGACGGCAATCCTTTGAGTGTGGCCATCCAGCCAGTTCCTGATCCACTGAGTGGTCCATCCGTCAAATCCATGACTTTCCAATTTTGACACCAGTATGTCATGTAGGACAGTGTCAAACGCTCTGCCTAAGTCCAGGTAGATGATGTCTGTTGCTCTCCCCTTACCTACCAGTGCTTGTAGCACCATCGTAGAAGGCCACCAAGCTTTTCAGCATGGCTTGCCCTTGGTGAAGCCATGTTGGCTGTCACCCATCACGTCCTTATTTTCCATGTGCTCTAGCAGAGATTCCAGGAGGATTTGCTCCGTAATCTTAGCAGACACAGAGGTGAGACTGTAGTTCCCTGGGTCTTCCTTTTTTTCCCTTTTTGAATATCGGGGTTATGTTTCCCCATTTCCAGAGAGAGGGAACTTCAGCATATTGTCATGAATTCTCAAATATGATGGAAAGTGGCTTAGCAACTTTGTCCGCCAGCTCCCTCAGGACCTAGGGATGGATTTCGTCAGGTCCCATGGACTTATGCACCTTCAGGTTCCTTAGATGGCCTCGAACCTGATGTTCTCCTCCTGTGGGCAGTTCTTCATTCTCATAGCCCCTGGTTTTGCTTTCCGTGACTAAATACATCTCTCCTGCTAAGAGTCAGGTGCAAGGACAGCAGCTGAAGCATTAATTGGGAAAAGTGCAGCAAAATCCTGTCATTGCTGCCAGTATCTCCCATAGAGAGTGCCTGGAAAAAATGCTGGCCAGAGAAACAAATTGTCTTCTACACTGATTTGGCATTTACATCCCGAGAAGTGCTCCCTTGCAAGCCAAAAATGATTTACTAAATGATGCAAAATTTTTGGGACTAAATGATGCTTGTCCCAGTCCATTTTCTGGCAGTTATATGTAAACCACCTTAAACAAGAGTGGCTGCACCGTGTCAGATCAGGGGTTAATTTGAGCCATTTTACTGTTCTTCAGCAGTGACCGTGGGGGTCTAGGGCAAGGTAAAAAGTAGGAAAGTGTGTTTGAAACCCCCGCCCGCCAAGTACTATCCCAGCCTGCAGCTACTTTTGGCTCAAGGAACCCTAACTCAGTGTATGTCCCCACACCTGACTGCACACAGACACCAGTGGTATCCTTTAGGGCTCTGGGTCTTGGACACAATGCCCATTGCCAGGGACCCAGGTGGAGACTGTTGTTACTTGACCATGAAGAAACTATCAGTCTCCCCTGTCAGCAGCTGCAGGTCTTACTGCTGGTGCAGTGTGTGCAGTACGAGTCCAACCACATCCATGCTTCGGAGGACAATTAGAGGAAATCCATGAGGGATCCAGACTTTTTCAAAAAGAAATAGTAATTGCATTAGACAGAAGTACATGCTGGGGCACATGCAAAATGGCAGGGGGAGAACAATGAGCTAGGAGAGTCCTTCAGGCCCCTGGTCTTGTTTTTGCCTGAAGGCTTGGTGGTCCCTTTGTGGAGACCCGCTTGCAAAAATCAGAAGTATTTCTCAGCCAGGTGTGGAACGGCCCTTTCTCCAGGCTTCAAGTGCTGCCCCAGGACATAATTTTTAAAAATTGATTCATTTCCACCAAGAATAACTGAATCATTTTTTTCCTGACTTGGGGTGGGGAGGAAGCTTCCCCCATTACTGCACACAAAACTCGCATCCAGCCCATGACACACCACATCACTCAAGACAAGGCTGCTGAGATTAGACAGAGATATGCCTGAGCCCCTGCAGAGGCTCTCTTGGTACTCTGTGCTCCAATGGGCTCCTGTCACCTGGGGAGAGGGACCACCACCACCCCCAAGGGGGCAAGAGGGCTGCAGAAGCTGCCAGGCCACATCCCAAGACAAACATCATCCAGTGGGCCAACAGCACATGCCTTCACGTTTATTACAATCAGGAATTTTAAGCCACTTGTGTGCCAAAGGGAAAATTTCCCATATTCTTCAGATAATGGGACCAGCCCCACAAGTTTTCCATGCAGAAGTCCAAGTTTCGTGTTAGCCGCTTTATGAGCAGGTAGGTGCCACCTAGTCCTGCTGCCCCCATGACAAAGAGCCCTCGATTAATTATCTGCAAAGAGAAGCCCCGGCATCAGCAGAGGTTTGCTCCTACCCTGCGGCACCAAGCAAAGTCTTCACACCTTCACCCACCTGATGTTGCCCCACGACCAATGCTCCCCCCCTGCAGCCGAGCAGTGCAGGTATGCAGGATGCTCACAAGGCTCATGGCATGGGGAGGGCAGGCACCACCACTGACCAACCTTTTTCTGCCATTTCCAACGCTGAAGTGCCTCATGGTAGCGAATTCTGGTGAAGGTCACCTGGGAGGGTTGCAGGAGCACATCAACATCTCAAAGCCAGCCAGGAGGAGCTCGCAGCAGCTCGGGCAGTGGGGACCAAGGTGCTGACCTTACCATGGTGTACAGCGGGACGATGGTGGAAGGCATAAGGGTGTGGAGGAAGTTGTCTATATGCTTCCGGAAAATGAACCACGTTGAATTCACGTGCTCACGCATCTGCAACAGAGCAACTCTCACCCCTTGGCAGGGTGTCTTGGCAGAGCTCCCATGCATTTTGCTAGCTCTCCCACTGCCTGTCCTGGGGACCAGAGCTGCCCCAGTGGCATTCCCAAGAAGCTCTTTGGCTGAAGTCTGCCAGGGTGACAGCCCAACCAGAATCTTGCCAGAGCCCCTGCCGGCTGTGCGCATCCCAACAGCGTGCTGCTGTATGCACAGCCCACAGGAGCACAACTCTGTGCACAGCTAGCCTACCTCTACGTAGTTGTACATGGCTAAATCTGAGATCGCATGGTCATCTGGCACCCTCAGCCTGGAGAACTCGGGGAGGCAGGCACCTGCGATAAAAAAGTGACAGCTCACGGGCAGCTCCCAAGCAGGGTATCCAGCTGCCTTCAGCCACAGAGGGATCCTCATCTGCTTGTGCTCCTCTCCAGCTACCTTCACTCACCAAGATCATTGTGGAACTGGTCCATTAATTCATCAAACACCAGGCAATCCTCAAAGCCCTGGGAGGAAAATTACAGGGTAAATAGGCAGAAGGAACAATATGTTCATGAGAAGCGCTCTCACGGATGCTTAGCTGGTGTAGCTGCTCACACGTGCAGGCTCCCACTGACCACAGCTTCAGAGCAGGAGTCTTACTCCAGGCCACTCTGCCAGGGATCTTGCAGAGAAATCCAGGGGGTTGCCTTTCCCGGCAGCATGGGGCTGCCTTGCTGGACCACCCTCCCACGCAGTTTTCTGCCCCATGGGAAGGTTGCAACACCTTCTTATTCCCTCTCTTCCCCTGAGGACAACCAGGTCCTATTGAGCAGCCACATGTCCCAGGGGAGTTCAGCACCCACCAATGCAGAGGACATCGGACCGTGAAACAGGCCAGTCCCTGAATTCGACAGAGCTACACTCTAAAACCAGGCATTTCTGGGTAAAAAGATTTGGGACCCAACTGACACAGCTGACCCAGGGCCAGCCACAAACTTACTGCATTCATGCCCTGTCCGTAGAAGGGCACAACAGCATGTGCAGCATCTCCCATCAGCACGCACCGGGAAGCAAGGTGGTAGGAGGAGCACTTCACAGATATCATGGCCTGGGCTGGCAGCAAGAAGTAATCATGCTTCAGCTCTCGCCTTCAGGCAAAACAACAGATACTTCACTTGTGGGACCACAAGAGACAAGAAGAGTAAGTCATGCAACGTCCAAGCTCAGGAGGTCAGGGTCAAGGGCACTGCCAACATTGGGATGCAGAACCCAAGCCTATTCACTGGGATATTTGTGCTGGGGAAAATGTGGAGCCTGCAAAACCTCTTTCATGAACTTCCCACTACGGACTGAATATTTTGTCTGCAGGTTTTAAGCTCTGCACACAACTTGACCATGAGTAAGTGTCATTGACATCTCAGTCCTCCTACCATGAGCAAGGGTAGATGGCAGTCACTGTAGGAAAGATGATACACTAGAAGA